TTGGCCAACCTCACTCGGCACCAGGTCACTCACACCAACACCCCTCTGCCATTGCCAGGGCCTGAGGGGCTTCTTGGAGCTAGTGGGCCTGACAAAGCACCAGCAGATGCAGACCAGCGAGTGGTCCTGTCCCCCTGATGACCAGCAGAGACTGTGTGGGGTGGGGAAGGGAACTTGGTTGAGCAGCGTGGGGAAGAGCAGACCGGTGGTAGTAAATTTAGAGAATTGTCACAGCGTACTCCATTAGGGAGCTACCCCCTTTTCCCCCATGTAGGTGGGATCCAACTATGTGTCTCTGTCCCACACACACTCAAGCATCTAGCTGGGATGCAGCCAGGACAACCCCCTCCCCTCCATCTAGATGGGACCCAGCCAGGAACTTCTCCCCACACCTACCTCGGTTCCAGCCAGCAGGTGACCCTTGGGTGACATCTAGAGGTGGGATTTGCAGTCCTGTGGGGCCGGGCAGGACAGGACTGACTGGTCCATGTAATTGAAAGAAGACTCAGGAACTGCTCATGCCATCGATTTTAAATAGAAATATGATGAAGAAGAACTACGTACCTAATGTGAAACAAAGGTCTGTCTAGTCAGGTGTTTCTTTGCTATTAAAGAAGCTGATGGGTTCAGACGGCATGTGGAGAAGCCAGTGTGAAGTGTCAATCTTTAAGGTGAACCTGTGAAAATGTTCTAAGCCCTAACTGTCTGTAAGGCGGTCGCGGCTCTCTCCCCGTCCGTCAGGAGGCTGTGCAGTCCCATCTGCGCTTGAGCCGTAGGAATTGGGATACCTACAGGCAGATTTCTCGAGGCTTGTGTGAAAAGGGCTGTGGTCAGGACACGCTGCAGTGCAGAGCGAAGATAAAGGAGATAAGGCAGGCATACCATAAGGCGAGGGAGGTGAACTGTCGTTCAGGTGCTTCACCTAAGACCTGCTGGTTCTATAAGGAGCTGGACGCTATCCTCGGTGGCAACCCCACCTCCATTGCCAAGAGCCCCGTGGATACTTCAGAGGGCATGGGGCGGCGGAAAGAGGACCTAAGCCAGAGGATGAAGTTATTGATGAAGAGTGGAGTTAGATGAGGATGTGCAGCTCCTGGCGGGGTCGCCCAGTGGGGCAGGAAGCCAGGAACTGTTCTCCACTCCAGAGGTGTCTAGCCAGACTCAGCAGTTGCTCTCAAGGGAGCAAGAAGCAGGAGGTGAGATGCCTGGTAAGTGGCTGTGGCTTGTGTAGCGTGGAGGTGGTGTTCAGGGTACAGAAATGTGGGAGCCTGGCTGTGTTTCTGTGAGCTGGACAATTCCCTGTTTAACTAATCCAGGGGGAAGGGGGGAATAGCTCAGTGGTTTGAGCATTGGCCTGCTAAACCCAGGGTTGTGAGTTCAATCCTTGACGGGGTCATTTAGGGATATGGGGCAAAAATCTGTCTGGGGATTGGTTCTGCTTTGAGCAGGGGGTTGGACTAGATGATCTCCTGAGGTCCCTTCCAACCCTGATATTCTATTAACTCTATGATAATTGGTACGATGGAACAGGGTGTTGATGCATGTTGAGATCTCACAGGAATCCTCCAGGGAGATCTCCAGGAAAGTTTCCTGGAGGTACTTGCCAATTCTCTGCTGAAGGTTCCGTGGTAGAGCAGCTTTGTTCCTTCTCCCATTGTAGGAAACTTTCCCACTTCATTCGGCAATCACTTGTGCAGGGACCAAAGCGGCACACAGGCGAGCAGCGTAGGGAGCAGGGCAGAAACCACGAGCATAGAGTAGATGTACCCTCGTTTCCCTGCTTACCCTTAGCAGTGAGATGTCTGCTAGAATGATCCCCACCTGTGGAAAAGTGTGGGAGAATTTTAGAATTTGTCCCCTAGAATGCTGCACCACGGCCCTTGCAAAGAGTGTGTGCTCTTTTCCCAGCATGGAGTCTCCCTCCCTTTCCCCCTCCGCCAACACTTACCATGCTTTGGGTGTTCGCAGAGATGTGTAGGGTCAGTGAGAAAGTGATGGCAATGTTGCAAAAGGTGTATTTAACTGAAATGTTTAAATGCTGTGCGTG